AAGAAATGGCATTAATTTGCAGGTCATCAACACTGTTATTTTTCTGTCTTGACAAAGCATCAGCAGCAACATTATCTCTCCCTTTCTTGTACTGAATCTCATAATCAAATCCCAACAGTTTGACTAGCCATTTATGCTGGAAAGGGGTGTTTAACTTTTTCTCCAATAGATACTTGAGTGAATGGTGATCAGTCCTGATAATGAAATGGTTTCCTTGCAGCTAAGGCCCCCACTTTCCCACTGCCATCACTAATGCCAATAACTCTTTCTCATAAGTAGATAGAGATTTATTCCTGTTACAAAAAGCCTTGTTGAGATAGGCTATCGAATGTCCTTGTTGCATTAGTACTGCTCCCATGCCATTACCACTTGCATCCGTTTCCACAATGAATGGTTGAGAGTAATCGGGCAATCTCAACACTGGAGGAGTAGATAAAGCTGTTTTCAGATTTTCAAAAGCTTGTGTAGCCTTTTCATCCCATGAAAAAGCTCCCTTTCTCAACAGGTTGGTGAGAGGTTTACTGATCACTCCAAAACTTTTGACAAACCTCATGTAATAGCCAACAAAACCCAAGAAACCTCTCAATTCCTTTAAAGTTTTTGGTAATGGCCACTCAGTGATGTTGTTAACTTTAGCAGGGTTCATATGCACTCCCTTGTCAGAAATCACATGTTCCGAGTACTCCACTGATTGCTGAGCAAATGAGGATTTGGATTTCTTGGCAAACAACTGATTATCCATCAAGAGTTGAAAACCAGTGGTGAGGTGAGTGACATGATCTTGTAAGGTAACACTGTAAACTAGAATGTCATCAAAGAATACCACCACAAACTTCCTGAGACGGGGCTTGAACACCTTATTCATAAGGTTCTGGAATGTGGATGGGGCATTAGTCAACCTAAAGGGCATCACCAAGAACTCAAAATGCCCATGGTGAGTCTGAAAAGCAGTCTTTGGAATGCCCTCCTGACAAACCCTAATTTGATGATAACCAGCCCTTAAGTCTATTTTGGAAAACCACTTTGATCCCCTCAATTCATCCAACTGGAATGGGATATCTGCTCTTCACAGTCAACTCATTGAGATGCCTGTAGTCATTGCACATCCTCCAAGAACCATCCTTCTTCTTGGCTAGAAATACAGGTGAAGCATATGGACTCTCACTCTCCCTTGTTTTTCCTTTTTTAATAAATCCTCCACATGATTCTCAATTTCAGTTTCGTGAGCATAAGGGTATCTATAAGGCTTCAATTTAAAAGGAATAGCACCTGGTTTCAAAGTGATGTGGTGAACTGATCTTAGTGGTGGGAGTGTAGTTGGTTCCTCAAAAACTTTGTTGTATCTGCTGATGACCTCCACTATGTCCTCTGGGACCCCCTGCTCCTTTGAAACTTCATACAGTTCAGCCACCTTGATTTCATTCACCGGTGCAGCATCATAACTCCCATCATTCACAGGTTCGAACCATCTCATCCTCTTGTCTGAATAACTGAATTGAGCCTCCATTATAGGCCTCTTTAGCTTGGCTGATCTTATAATCTCTTGTATTTCATCCTCAGCAGCTAAAGAATGCCCCTGGATCATGAAACGCCTTCCAAATTTAGATAGTTCAATTCTGCAGTTGTCATAATCAAACAAAACAGGACTGAAATGTGATAACAAATCAGTGCCAAGAATGACATCCCAGTTACCTAAATCCATCAACCTGAAGTCAAACTGAAAACGATGCTTTTGTATGGACCATTGAGCTGCTGGACAAATGAGGTTGTTTTTTATTTTACGACCATTAGCCACCTTAATGAAGTAAGGTTTAACCACCTTTCTGTCCAACTCCAACTTAATGGCCAACTTGTTGTCTATGAAACTTCTCACAGCTACAGTGTCAACCAGAATTCTCATAGTCTCACCATTAATCTCACCAATGATGCTAATGAGTTTTCTTGGTTGTTCTTCCTCCTCTTCTATAGACCAACACTCATCCCAACGGGATATAGCTTGCAACTGAATAGTAGACAATGCAACTGCCTTACCACTTTCTTCCAATTCATCACTCAGCCACTTAACCTGATCCAAATCCACATCATCATGAACAATGATCAAGTTGATGTGCTCCAGTTAACAAAGATGACCAGGTCCCCATTCCAGCAGAGATTATTAGCCTTTCTGAATTGCTTCTCAGCAGGAGATAACCTTTTAAATACCTCATTTCCTGTCTGCTTATTAGGTTGCGCAGACACCTTGCCTCCTGCATTATAAGTCCTTCCTGCTACTGATGTTAACCCCTTAGGTGAAGATATAGCCAGTGTTCGTTCTTGTGCTTTAGCAGCTTCAAAAGCTCTCTATACCGTCTGTGGCTCCATGAACCTTACAAAAGGTTTGAATTCCTCCTTCAAGCCACTAATGAAGCTTGAAACAAAATAAGACTCACTCAAATGAGGATCTAAACAAAGTACTGAAGATTTCAGCTCCTCAAATTTGTCGTGATAGTCTTTAATAGATCCGATCTGAGATAGTTTGTTAAACTCTTCAATAGGATTTAACACATCAAAATCTCTGAAGCGTTTCAACAATTCTTTCTCAAACAAACACCAGTCAACTTGAGGAAAAACCTTCTTAAAACCTTGAAACCATACATCCGCTTTTCTATCCAAATAGAATTCAACCATATCAAGCTTTTATTCCTCATTCATCTTATAAATGTGAAAGTACTTGTGACATTTCCTTAAACAAGCCCTAGGATTATCACCTTCAAATACTGAGAGTTCAATTTTAGGCCTAGGCTTCCAATTCCTTCTGTTCACTTCAATTTCGTCATCAACAAAATTCAAATCAACTACTGTTTTCTGAGTAAAATTCGGTTTAGGTACGCCATGATTTCCATCATTTTTACTGTTTTTAACACCAGAAACAGAAGCAGCTGAATTTGATAGAGAATGCTTACTCTTGCCGCTAATAGATCCTTTCGTTCCTCCCAGCTTTGGTACAGCATCTGAAATCTTCGCACTTAACGCCGCGAATTTATCCTTGAATATCGCCATCAGCTTTGACGATAGATCCGTACTCAGCTTAGCTATACTCTCTGGTAAATCCGAGTGGATCTGAGCTACACTAGATTCCAATCGAGACACAGCTACATTCGATTGAGCTACGTGAGCTTCAAATTCCGCCTTTAACGAAGCAATTTGCTCCTCTGCTGCCACCAACGTGACGCGAGATGGCGCCATTTCAGAACATAGCCGACAATCATTAAGCTTTGATTACCAAATGGCAGGTCCGGCGTCGGAACGACGTAATTCCGGCCAAGAATTTGAGTAAATTGGAACAGTTGGAAAAATGACTCAAAGTCAAATTCACACAAAAGAGATGAATTGTATTATCCGAATAATCCACAAATTACATCAAAATCATATTTATAGTGGCTAAAAACAATGATTCAACTATTTGCGTAATTGGTCCCTCAACTTGCATGCATGGCCGTATTTAATGTTGTTGTCAGAAGTATCCCCCCAGTTGGCAAAACGTCACCGTTTCCGGATCCCTTTCCAAATTAATTTCATAACCCGACTAGAAACGGGTTGGGCATGACATAATAATACAGAAGTCCACGAAATCGATTACTGATTTTATGACAATTTGTCCATTAGTTTATATATAATCAATCAAGGTCAGGGCGATAACAAAAATTCATGAGCACCAAAGCCCAAAACTCTTCGCGTTTACGCGCTCTTTTCTGTACATTTAAAATTGAGAATGATGGATCTACCCGAGACATAAAGTTTTGCTTTCCGAAAAAAAAACTTATCGACTCAAAATTATATTAGTTAGAACAATAATTTCGGACAACAAGTTTGTTATATACCAAAAAATTGAAAATGCTGGAAGCATATTTCGTTAATCAAATTTTGCGGTGGGGGCTTTTGATCTGCTCAATTCATTTTTGGCATCCTCAGTTCCTACACGTCCATCTAGAGTTAGGCTGAGAATCAAGTCGAATCACTACCAACCGGTCGGTGTAATAATGACCCCTAGTTTTTTGTCACTTTCTCGTTGAAGTTTTATTTGTTCCCAAAAATTTTTTTTTATCCTTAATTAATAACTAGACATGTTTAGTAAGTGTGTGAAGTATTTGTCTTTTCAGTTGTCACTATCCAAATTTAGAATAATTTTTCACCATCTGTATCATTGCTCAAATATAATACCACATCTATCGCAAAATAATTTTCAAATTTGAAATTTTAATTTTATTACAAGATGTACAAAATATGAAAATTCAAACTAGACAATCATTTATAGATTATTAAGACAATCTACGCATAAATACACCAATTATTCCTTCTAACATTCCAAACATAGCGAGCCAAACTTCTTCTTTGAAATTGAAGGAATAATTGGCCATCCATAAACTGTGCAAGCTATAATTAAGGAAAAGTAAGTAGTTCAAAAGTAAGAACATGATTTGTTTAGAACAAATCGATTGACGCGGTTACCCCTTCACGCGGTATTATATTAATATTAATATTGTTATTATGGTAACATCATTTCATAATAAAATGATAAATTGTACACCATTTCTTGTCACAATCACGAACTTCTATAGCCCTTTTTTTAAAAAACTCTGCGTAACCCCGACTAGGAATTTTTGAATTCCCACATTGGTATTCACAATTCATGAAGGATGCTCTTACGATGTTTCGGGGTTGGTGAAATATTAAGAAAAAAAAAATGACAAGAAATGTACTACTAGTAATAATAATAATAAAAGACCTAAACGTAAGGAAAAAAGAAATTTTTTAAAAAAAAAAAAGACGTAAAAGAATGTGACCAATGACCATAAATCCAAATCCAGTTAGGCAAGTAAGTCTTCTCTTCTTCTTCAGTTCTTCTTTTTCGAGTGAGTGAGTGAAGTCCATCCTTCCACCCAACTTATAGTAGCAGCAATTAACCTAAATAGAAACACACACAGAGAGATAGAGAGCTTGAAGTTTTGAAATAAGCAAAAATGTCGGTTCCGGATGCAGCAATAAGTTTCCTGCTGGACAACATTGTCCAAGTGCTCACATATAATTATCGTTTGATTGCCGACGCAGGGGACAACATCAAAACGCTGCGTAGTGAGCTAGAGTTGCTGCAAGGGCTCATGACGGATTTTCTCAACTACAACAACGACAGCGAATACCTGAGGAAGCTGGTGAAGGAGATTAGATCCATAGTTGAAGAGGCCGAGGATGCGGTTGATACTTACGTGGTTCAGGCCGCGCTCCAGAAATCAAAAGGCACGCTTTCCAGAGCTATTCATGCAATCGATTATCCAATGAAGCTTCGCTCCGTGGGGAAGAAGATTCAACAAATTAGTGACAAGGTTAAGCAAATCAATGAAGGCAAGGCCCCCAATGCTATTCAAATGATGAGGAAGCAGGATAAGCGAGATCAACCCAAAAAGCCTAAAGAGGTATGTAATATGTTCTTTCAAAGGGAAAGCATCCAAATATCACATACTCCCTCCTCCCTGAAATTATTGTGTAATTTGAGATTTCATTTTCAGTTCAAATTATAATAAAACTGAAAATATAAAATGAATATTAATTTTGGGACGAGAAAAATACCACATTTATTTTGCCTTCTTTCTTAATGATTTTTTGCACTACTGTACTTTTATTATGTGCTAGTTTCAATAGTGATAATACATGACTATGTGACTGCTATATTATTATATTGTATCTTTTTAGTAGTACTGGACCATTAAGTTAAATTATTACTAAGATTTATATATTTTTTTTCCACTTCACCTTGAAGTCATTTAAAAGATTATGACATTTTTCTTTTCTTTTCTTTTTTTTTTTGAGTTACTACTAGTAATTAATTTTTATACAAATAATATTTCTTGAAGAGTATAAAAATTATTGTGTATATAATTACTATAAGAAAATGATTTCAGAGCACAATAGTATAATTAGGTGTTTTAGCCTTTATATTGGTATATGTATCAAACAAGAAATGGTGATTTTAAGCATTTTTGGGCCGAGGAGTTCAAAGATTAAGCACTCAAATTTATGCACTTTACTTGAATTCAACATATCTATTCCATAATTCGACATTCGGCATTCAAAATCAAACATTGATGTTTATGAAAGATATGGAAGAATGGTGAATATTGGTAAAAGGTTAAACTGATTAATAGGAACACATGGCTCCTATTAGACGGTTTAACATGTTAGATGTGATCTTTAGAGGATGATACATGCTACTTCATCGAGTGCAATGAATATGCTATCAAGTTATTCCCGCATTATTGTTACATATTCATTCATATATACATTATAACCTTCAAAATTAGTTTTAAACTTAATATCTTTTTCTTATTTCTTGTGATAAGGAACCAAAAGTTGAGACTGAGCATGTGGTTGGTTTTGATGGTGCCATTAAAGATGTGAGCCAGCTTCTCACAAGTGGAGCAAAACGATTGGAAGTAATTTCAATAGTTGGGATGTTAGGGCTCGGGAAAACGACACTAGCTAAGAAAGTTTTCAGCCACCAAGATGTTGATTATGAGTACATGATTAGGGTCTTTGTCTATGTTTCGAAACAATACGAGAGGAGAGAAGTGTTTCTCAAGATTTTGGGCTCATTTATGAATATCAGTGCTGAGTTGAGCAGTATGTCAGAAGATGATTTGGAGAAATTTCTCTGCAAGGAGTTAAAGGGGAAACAATACCTAATTGTATTGGATGATGTTTGGGAGAAAAAAGATTGGGATAATTTGAAAGATGCATTTCCCATGAACAACAAGCGATGCAGAGTTCTCATAACTACTCGATATGAGACAGTGGCTAAACATGCAAAAAATTCTGATACTGAATTCTATAAATTAGACTTTTTGCCACTTGAAAAGAGTCGCGAGTTGCTTCGTTGGAAGGTTTTTCGTGACAACCGCTTGCGTAGTGAGTTTGATCAGTATGAGAAAGAAATTGCAGAGAAATGTGATGGGTTGCCTTTAGCAATAGTGGTCATTGCAGGCTATATTCTTAATCATCCCGAAAGAATTGATTGGTGGCAACAAGTTGCAGAGAGTGTGAACGATTATATTGCTAGGGATCAAGAGCAAACTACAAAGGTGATAGAATTGATGTATGCTCACTTACCAAACCATTTGAAACGCTGTTTCATGTATCTTGGGGTGTTCCCTGAAGACTTTGAAATCCCAGTGTGGAAACTAGTGCGATTATGGATCGCGGAAGGATTCATACAGGCGGATGGAAGTTTGAGTCAAGAGGATATGGCAGAGGAGTATTTGGATGAACTTATTTACAGAAATTTGGTGATGGTTGCAAAAAGACGCTCAAATGACAAAGTCAAAGCTTGTATCATTCACGACACTCTACATGATTTTTGCAAGAAAGAAGCATCAAAAGAAAATCTTTTCCAGGAACTAAAAAGAGACAATATTTCCTCCTTATCATCAAACCCGATCTCAGATCAGCGTCGACGACTGTGTCTCAACAATGTCGATGTTCTGAGATTTCTATCTTCAGCACCAACTGGTAAGTATATTCGCTCTTTCTTAAATTTTTCTAGAGAGGAGACAGATGTGGAGGTCAGCCATGTTTCTAAAATTGCAAAAACTTTCAACCTGTTGAGGGTGCTAGAGATTCAGTCTCTCAAATTCACCCGTATGCCCATTGATCTAAGCAATCTTATTCTTTTGAAATACATAGCCATATCTTCAAAGCTCTCAGTCATACCAGAAAAAATGTCTGGTTTGTTGAACATGCAAACCCTCATAGTGAACACAGATGCACCTAGGCTTGAGATAAAAGCAAAGATATGGAAGTTGCCCCAATTCAGACATTTGCACACTAATACATCCACCGTCTTACCTTTCCCTGATTCCAAACCCTCAAGCAAGAAAGAAGAAGATCTCGTAGATCAAGATATCCAGACTTTGTCCACCATTGCTCCTGAATGTTGCACAAAGGAAATTCTCAGTCGGGCCAGCAAGATCAAGAAATTAGGAATTCGCGGAAATTTAACTGCGCTTTTCAACTTCAGGGATGACGAATCTTGTTTATTTGACAACCTTCATGATTTAGGATCTCTTGAAAATTTGAAGTTACGGAATGATGACATAGCCTCAAGGATAAGTTATCTTCCTCCAGCTAAGAACTTTGCGCAACAGTTGAGATTGCTGACGCTGTTTGGAACCCAACTGGACTGGGCAGAATTGATCAAATTGGGAAAGCTTCCGAACCTTGAGATCCTCAAGCTTAAAGAACATGCATTCAAAGGGAAGAAGTGGCAGTCTGAAAAGGGAGGTTTCCTGCTGCTGAAACATTTGCACATTGGAGAGACTGATTTGGAAGTGTGGGAAGCTGAAGCAGATCATTTTCCGAAACTCACGTGTCTTGAACTCGAGAATTGCGCTAACCTTAAAACTCTCCCAGATGGCCTGGCCGATATTTCCAGCCTTCACCTAGTGGATCTTCATTGCACGACTCCTGAGCTTGCTTCCTCCGCCGATAAAGTTCGAGCAAAGAAAGAAATGAAAGGAGGCAATTTTAAACTCTCAGTTTATCCTCCAGAGCATTTGAAGAAATAGGAGATATGATTAATGCAGCTGATCATGACATCATTGACAGGCATTTGAGACTGTTTTATTCTGTTGTGTACTTTACTGTGTCATACAGAGACCTTACGTATTCGAGCCTATTAGCAATTATCTTGATTCGTTAATAAGTGATAAGAGCAGAGTGATTCTGAAATTCTTGTTAAATGTGATTCCATTCCTGGCATTGATAATTTGTGACCACCAAAGGAGAATCTGAATATGTAAGCCAAAGCTGTTAAGGCATGAGTACAAAGTTATCTAGGGAACCACTCTTGTTTTGACATATTGAATTGATGTTGCAGTTATCAACTGTTAGCTAACTGTTCCAAGCAACTCATCACGTCTCAACCTCTAAGTTCTTGCCTTAACTGAGCACAAGAATAGCCATTACAATTCATTTGTCAGATATTGCAGGACTTCGTAGAAGAGAAAAAAAATCCTGTATCACATAGGGAAGATGCTGCATTAACTTAATGTGCAAATCGATACACTGATTTAGACAGCTGGGGATTCTTCCCATGTCAGAAAACTAGAAACATACTCCATTTTAAGAAACCTATTAATTTCTGGGTACATAACTGGTTTTACGCATTACTAGTTACTATACAGTTATTTCCTAAGGGAACCTACCACCATCCTGCTAAAGAACTTTGAGAGTAAAAAAGTCTAGCTAGCAATCACAGTGAAAAAAAAATCAGATGGATGTTCTCCAATCGATGTGAATCAAATACTAATTAAGTATATACGTATTTGTATGAAGTAATTGACGAAGCTCGGTTTTTTTACACCGCCGATTTGGTAGTGGAACTCCGGCTAGCTTGGACCATAATAAGCGGATGGACCGGTCCAATAGCTCTCGATGGATATAGACTCGTCAGTAATAATCACTCAAATCATCATCACCAAAAAAAGATTAATGACCACCCATTGACCTAGTGAGATTTGTAAGATCATACATGATGGGAAAATGTAGTTTAATGAACTCTAAACCAATCTCTCTCATCTTTTCCCTAAAACTAGACAGTGAGTATGAGAAGTCGCAGACCTCAGTTCCAAAAGTCCATATTGAGTATTGACTGTGGCCACAATGGTAACGGTTCAGGCGACAAAATAATTTCCGGCCGTGGTAGCGGCAACATTGTTAATTGATAAAATTACAGTAGTTTTCTTTTTTAATTTGAACCTGACAAAATTAGTTTTCTTTTTTATTTGGCTCAAATGTTCTCCAAACCTTTCACAAAATTTCAAAACAAGAAATTGATAAACACACCAAACCAAAACTAAAATCGACATTTTGGGTTGAAGCAATAATTAGCGCATTTTTATTACTTTTACCCCGAATAATACTTCACCTATCACACCATTCTTGAATCATAGTATATCTTACAAAGTCCGGAGTTGGTGCAATACTAAAAAAAATGAAAAAAAAAAAAAGAGAAAGAAAAAAAGACGTAGTAATAATAATAATAATTAAAAAAAAGGACTAAAAAGTGAAACCAAATGACCCATAAAGCAAACAAAATCAAACGTCAACGGGCAACACTGTATCCATCCCTTCCAGACGTTGAAAACCAGAAATAGTTGAAGAATTCATCAAGTTAATTCAGAGGAAATCAAGTGAGTACATCCTTTTTAGGCCCCGTTTTCTTTGGTTTGCTGAGTGACTGAAATCCATCCATTCTCATTTCTCATCCTTCAAGCTAATCAAGTAACAGAGAGAAACAGAGTGCATTTTGAATCCAAAACCCAAAAAAAAATGTCAGTCCCAGATGCAGCAATTGGGTACCTGCTGAACAACCTAGACCAAGTAGTGAGGTACAACTATCATCTGATTGCGGACGTGAAGGACAACATTGAATCGCTTTCCAGTGAGCTGAAGTTGCTGCAAGGGTTAATGAAGGATTTCATCAAGTACAATAACGACAGCGACTACCTCAAAGAGTTGGTCAACTCCATTAGATCCATAGTTGAAGAAGCTGAGGATGCTGTTGATACTTATGTTGTTAAGGCCGCGCTCCAGAAATCGAAGAGCAAAGTCAACCAAACTCTTCACTCCATCGACTACGCCAAACAGCTCCGGTCCGTTGGGAAACAAATTGAACAAATCATTGACAAGGTTAAGAAAATCGTTGAAGGCAAGGCCCAGGGTGCTATTCAGATCTTGCAACAGCAAACCGGTGATAAGATTCATCAACCCGCTAAGCCCAAAGAGGTACTTCTCTTCTGTTTTCTTCTTTTTTCTTTTTTTTTTTTTTTGTCATCTGATTTTTATTAGTACTACTATATATATATAGGAGTATTTGGGGATATGGAATTTCATGGCAATCACCAATAATGTTCATCTATAAAAATGCTCGACTAGATATTGTTATGAAACTGAAACTACTCTTTTATCCAAACAATTGAATTTATTGTCTCTCATCTTGTTACATTTATGTTTCACTTTATTTAAGTTTCTATAGAAAATCTGATTTTGGTAGTCATGATTATTGTTATGGGAAGGAACCAAAAGTTGAGGAAGAGCATGTGGTTGGTTTTGATGGCGCAATTGAACACGTGAGCAAACTCCTCACTAAAGGATCAGAAAAGCTAGAAGTAATCTCGATAGTAGGAATGCTAGGATTAGGGAAGACCACACTAGCTAAAAAAGTTTTTAACCACCAAGATGTTGATTATGAGTACATGATTCGGGTTTTTGTCTATGTCTCAAGACAATATGAAAGGAGGGAAGTTTTCCTCAAGATATTGGGTTCAATTTCTAAAATCAATGATGAGTTGAGCCGCATGTCAGAAGATGATCTAGAAACACATCTTCGCAAGAATTTAGAGGGGAAACAATATTTGATTGTGTTGGATGATGTTTGGGAGCAAAAAGATTGGGATAGATTAAGAGATGCGTTTCCTATAAACAACAAGCGTTGTAGAGTCCTCATAACTACTCGACATGAGAAAGTAGCTGACCATGCTAAGAATTCGGATACGCCTTTCTACAAATTAGACTTTCTACCATTGGACAAGAGTCGTGAGTTGCTTCGTTGGAAGGTTTTTCGGGATAACACCTTCCGCGATGAGTTTGACAAGTATGAGGAACAAATTGCAAAAAAATGTGATGGATTACCACTTGCTATAGTAGTTATTGCAGGTTTTATAGTTAATCATCCAACAAGAATTGAATGGTGGAAAAAGGTTGCTGAAAGTGTGAATGATTATATTGCTAGGGATCAAGGGCAAACTGCTAAGGTTATAGATTTGATGTACACACACTTGCCAAACCATTTGAAACGTTGTTTTCTGTATCTTGGGGTCTTTCCAGAAGACTTTGAAATCCCAGTGTGGAAATTAGTGCGGTTATGGATTGCAGAAGGGTTTATACCGCAGGATGGAAGTGTGAGTTTGGAGGACATGGCAGAGGAGTACCTGGATGAACTTATTTATAGAAACTTGGTCATAGTTGCACAAAGGCGATCAGATGACAAAATCAAAACTTGTCTCATCCATGACACTCTGCATGATTTTTGCAAGAAGGAAGCAGACAAAGAAAACCTCTTCCAAGAAATTAAAAAAACAAATATTTCCTCCTTATTAGTAAACCCAATCTTGGATCAACGTCGAAGACTTTGCCTCAATAATGTCGATGTTCTGACCTTTCTTTCTTCGGCACGTTCTGGTAAGTACATTCGCTCTTTCTTAAACTTTTCTAGGGAGGAGACCAATGTGGATGTAACACAGGTTTCTAAAATTGCAAAAACCTTCAACCTTCTCCGAGTGTTGGAGATTCAGTCTCTCAAATTCACCCGTATGCCCATTGACCTAAGCAATCTTGTGCTTTTGAAATATATAGCCATATCTTCAAACCTTAGCACCATACCAGATAAACTCACTGACTTGTGGAATATGCAAACTCTCATAGTGAACACAGATTCATCTTCACTTGTGATAAAAGCAAACATATGGAAGCTGCCCCAGTTCAGGCATTTGCACACTAATACATCCACAATTCTACCTTCCCCTAATTCCACAAACCCAAAAAAGAAAGATGAGGTTTTCATTGTTCAAAATGTCCAAACGTTGTCCACCATTTCCCCTGAGAGTTGCACCAAGGTAATTCTTAGTCGGGCTAGCAATATCAAGAAGTTGGGTATCCGTGGGAATTTAACGAAGCTTTTTGAGTTCAAGGATGAATCTAGTTTATTTGACAACCTTCAGGATTTAGGATCTCTAGAAAATTTGAAGTTAAAGAATGACTTCACATCCTCCAAGTCCAAGATAGCCTCTCTTCCTCCTGCTCAAAACTTCCCTCTACAGTTGAGATTGCTAACGCTGTTGGGAACCCAACTGGATTGGACAGAACTGAACACACTGGGAAAGCTTCCTAACCTTGAGATTCTCAAGCTAAAAGAACATGCATTCAAAGGGAAGAAGTGGCAGTCTCAAAGAGGGGGTTTCTTGCTGCTCCGACATTTGCACATTGGACACACAGATATGGAAGAATGGGAAGCTGAACCAGATCATTTTCCTAGACTCAAGAGCGTTAAACTCGAGAATTGCGCGAAGCTTAAGAATGTCCCAGATGGCTTGGCAGATATTTCCAGCCTTCAATCAATAGTCCTTCACTGCACGAGTGCAGAGCTTGCTTCCTCTGCACTGAGACTTCAAGGAAACGTAGACCGGAAAGGCAGCAAATTTAAACTCTCTGTTTACCCTCCAGAGCATTTGAAGAAACCGGATACATAGTGCAGCTGATCATTACAGCAGTGATAAGGTAACTAGTTATCTGATTATTTCACTATCCACACTTCTTTTACCGTTCTTATTTTTTCAGACTCATCCTCTCATTTGTGATGACTAGCTCTTCTGAAATCTTAGCTGCAACTATTTACTTTTGCTCTTTTCTTCTTCTTTTTTTTTTTTTTCAGATTGTTCATTGTGAAAAATCAAGGTCTGTGATTGGGAAGAACATTCTTTTTGCGGCTTTTTGTAGATGGTTTATTGTGCAGAATCAAGGTCTGTCTTTGAGAACTGCTACGAAAGGATGCTACATATTCAGACTGGTTTATACTGTCATGTATTGTTGTATTGTATTAGATAGACTTAGTTGGGACTATTTCCAATTTCAAAGATTCTATTGTTGCTTAAGACTGATTTGAAAATCTTGTTAATTACGTCCCGTTCTGCCAATCTGCTGCCTTAAATTTGTATTGATGTGAGGATTCCAAAAGGTTTCTGATGAACTAATTCATTGTCTTAGGTAGTAAATTGATTTTGCTGTCAAGGAATAGCAGCATTTCATATTAAGTCGGCTAACTATTCTAAGCAACTCATTGGAATCAGGATAAAATTTGTATGAGCAGAGTATAAACATAGAGAACAAGGTCTTATTGATGATATTCAGCCAGGTTGTTCCTCATCCCAGCACTCCAGCAGCAATCCCATTGATGGTAATAAGCAAGGTATCTCTCAGCTGATTGTTCCTGTATCCACGTAGGGAAGATGTTGTCATCAACTTAGTCTGAAAAAGATTCACTGATTTAGACTGGGAAAAAACCTATGCAATCATTTTCTCTGAAGCCAAACTAGAATGATACTGCCATTAACAAACAATCTCTCCCAATTAATTAGCTTCAATTATTAAAAATAAATTACTAGCATGCCCTAACTAAGTCTTGTCCAATAATGTCCTCTTAAACAAGAAACTTGTGTTATTTGTTGAATTACTTTAAAAGCACAACAAGAAAGTAATCGCTTTAAGATGGAAAGAATTAACAGATCAAGCGCGTATGAAATATCCACACACGCTTTTGGAGTAGTAGTACACGATGAAATGTGACAACAACAACAACAACAACAAAGAACGAGTCAAGTGACAATAATAATAGTAACAAAAGACTTGCAATAATGAAAGACTTGATAGAAAGTAAAGCCTGAGTCAACCCGTAAATGGCTATCCAATTCCAGGGCCAGAGCCTATATTATGCTATGCTCCATTTGCATTTAACTTGAGAAAAAAGACTATACAAACTCTGAAACTCCAAATCTTCATTTCCTTCTTAGTTGTAATAAAGTTGTAACAAGGGAAGAAGCAAATTAAATGTCAATTCCGGATGCAGCAATAAGTTTCCTGCTGGACAACATTGTCCAGCTGCTCAAGTATAACTATGGTCTGGTGGCTGATGTTAGGGACAACATTTTGACGCTGCGGAAAGAGCTGGAATCTCTGCAAGCCCTGATGAGGGATTTCGCCAAGTACAACAACGACAGCGATTTCCTTAAACATTTGGTGAAGGAGATTAGATCCATTGTTGAAGATGCTGAGGATGCTGTGGATGATTACGTGGTCCAAGTTGCCATCCAAAAATCAAGAACCAGAGTTTCCAAAGTTTTTCACACCATCGATTATGCTAAAAAGCTTCGGAACGTTGGGAAGAGAATTCAGCAGATTAGTGATGAGGTTAATAAACATGTGCAGAAGGCGCAGGGTGCTTATCATATCTTGAAATATCAGGCCCAAACGCTCCATCGATCCCCTAAGTCCAGAGAGGTAAAATTCTTTACTATATTGCTTCGATGAATTTTTTGGAGCTGACTTTCCACATTTACCTTAATGGCTATGAATTTATTTAACGAATAAGTTCTTTGGAGTAGATATTAAATTAGCAATCAATGGCATTTGAAGAGATGATTTAGTTTCACAGATGTGTATAGATATGACTATTCCTTTTTCTAACAATATTGCGGGAGGGAAAGATTGGAAAATTTCTTGTGAACAGTGAAAATACATGATATATTTTGGGGACAAAACATTTCTCCTCACACCACTTTTGGTGTATCATGTAGCACTCGTTACATTTTGACATGTACTTTATCTTTGCCTTTTAGAAACTGATTAGAGAGATTTGTACTATAGTCGGAATGGAAGTCAACATCTTTCATCGTTCCTTTTAGAGTATCAAAATAATTGTTCAGTTTGAATTCCCGTTTATAATAACAAATTTTTTTGTTACAAACTTTAGGTCTAATGTTTCTCATAACTTTTTGCTGCGTAAGGAACCAAAAGTCGAGGAAGAGCATGTAGTCGGTTTTGATGGTGCCATTGAAGAAGTGAGCCAACTTCTCATAGGTGGATCAGAACAACTTGAAGTAATCTCAATAGTTGGAATGTTAGGACTCGGGAAGACGACATTAGCTAAAAAAGTTTTCAACCACCAAAATGTTGATTATGAGTACATGATTCGGGTCTTTGTATATGTTTCAAAACAATATGAGAGAAAGGATGTGTTCCTCAAGATTCTGAGTTCATTTGAAAAGGTCGATGATGATGTGAGCCGCATGTCCGCGGACCAGTTAGAGAAACATCTTTGCAAGAATCTAAAGGGTAAGCAATATTTGATTATACTAGATGACGTCTGGGAGAAAGATGATTGGAGTAGATTGAAAGATGCATTTCCTAATAACAATAAGCGTTGTAGAGTCTTAATAACTACTCGCTATGAGAGAGTTGCGGAGCATGCAAAAAATTCGGATACTCCTTTCTATAGGTTAGATTTTCTGCCACTCGATAAGAGTCGCGAGCTACTTAGATGGAAAGTTTTCCGTGATGATATTGTCCGGGATGAGTTTGACAAGTATGAGGAACAAATTGCAAGGAAATGTGACGGTTTACCATTGGCCATAGTAGTCATTGCAGGTTTTATTGTTAATCATCCATACAGAATTGATTGGTGGCAAAAGGTTGCTGAGAGTGTGAATGATTATATTGCTAGGGATCAAGAGCAAACTACTAAGGTTATAGAAGTGATGTATACACACTTGCCAAACCACTTGAGAGGTTGTTTTCTGTATCTTGGGGTTTTTCCTGAAGATTTTGAGATCCCAGTGTGGAAATTAGCGCGATTATGGATCGCGGAAGGGTTTATACAGCCTGGGGGAAGACTGAATTTAGAGGATCTAGCAGAGGAGTATTTGGATGAGCTTATATACAGAAATTTGGTGATGGTTGCACAGAGGGGATCAGATGAGAAAATCAAAACATGCATTGTGCATGACACCCTACATGAATTTTGTAAGAAGGAAGCCGCGAAAGAAAATCTGTTTCAGGAAATTAAGAAGGACAATCTTTCTTCCTTCTCTGGAAACTCTATCTTGGATCAACATCGACGACTCTGCATCAACAATGTTAACTTCTCGGACTTCATTTCTTCAACTCCTTCTGGTAAGCGTGTTCGCTCTTTCTTAACTTTCTCTAGAGAGGATACAAATGTAGATGTAAATCAAGTTGCTTCCATTGCAAAAAACTTCAACCTTCTTAGGGTGTTGGAGATTCAGTCCCTCAAATTCCCACGTGTGCCTTTTGACCTAAGTAACCTTGTTCTTTTGAAATATATAGCCATATCCTCAAAGGTCTCAGTCATTCCGGAAAAAATATCTTGCTTGTGGAACATGCAAACTCTTATTGTGAATACAGATTCATCTAGACTTGAGATAAAAGCAAACATATGGAGACTCCCACGATTCAGGCATTTGCATACTAATACATCCACAATGTTGCCTTCACCTGATTGCAAAAACGCAAAACAGAAAGAAGAGGTTTCTGTAGTTCAAAATGTCCAAACTCTATCCACCATTGCTCCTGAAAGTTGCACAAAAGAAATTCTTACAAGGACCAGCAAGATCAAGAAATTGGGTATCCGTGGGAGATTAACCAAGCTTTTTGGGTTAAAGGAAGAATTAGGTTTGTTTGGGAACCTTCAGGACTTGGAATGTCTTGAAAGTTTGAAGTTAGTGAATGACTTCAACTCCTCCAAGATTGATCATCTTCCTCCAGCTCACAGCTTTCCCCAACAACTGAGGATGCTCACACTGGTGAGAACACAACTGGATTGGAGCGAACTTTTTGAGCTGGGAAAACTGCCGAATCTTGAGATTCTCAAGCTAAAAGATTATGCATTCAGAGGGACAAAGTGGCTGTCTGAAAAGGGTGGTTTCCTGCTGCTCAAACATTTGCACATTGGAAACACAGATTTGGAAGAGTGGGAAGCTTCAGCTGATCATTTTCCAAGACTCAAGCGTCTTGAACTCGAGAGCTGCACTAAGCTCAAGAGTATCCCAGACGGTTTGGCAGATGTTTCCGATCTTCAACTAGTAGACCTTCATTGCACAACTCCCGAGCTTGCTTCCTCCGCTGTTAGACTTCAACAAAGGAAAGTTATGAACGGCGGCAACTTTAAACTCTCTGTTTACCCTCCAGAGCATTTGAAGAAACCGGAAATATAATGCAGCTGATCATGACGGCATTGACAGGTTACTGGTTATTTGATTATTTCCCTATCTATACTTCTCTTGCCATTGTTATTGTTTCTGACTAATCCACAACTGAATCTTCCTGTCCTTTGTGATCTACCAATCATCTTCTGATCTTAACAGCAAGCATTTACTTTCTTTTTACTTTTTCTTTAGATGGTTCATTGTGAAGAATCAAGGTCTGCGATTGAGAAGCACTACTGGGAAAGGATACCTATTCAGACTGTTTTATTCTGTTATGTACTGGATTAGATAGACTCAGATTTGTATTGTTGCTTTAAGATTGATTTCGAAAATCTTGTTAAATGCCATCTCGCTTCGCAAATTTGCAGCCTCATTGACCCTTAAAAATTAACTCCTGCTATTCTACTACAAAAGGAGAATCCGAAAATTTGTAGCCATTGAGGCATGAATTCTAAACAAAGTTCTCTAGTGAGCCACTCATGTTTTTACATAATGAAATGACACTCATCCGAATGGGATAAACTTTCTATGAGCAAGTATAAACATGGAGAACAAGGTCTATTGGCTGGCTTTCAACCAGTGTTCCTCATCCCAGCAGCAATTCCATTGATGGTAATAAGCAAGGCATCTCTTAGCTTATTGTTGTCTTCATCACGTCTCAACCTCTTTAGAATCTCCACTTGCAACATATTCATTGGATTGAGGTAAGGGAGCCTGCTCTCCACCAGTCTCTGTAGGCTCCGGTTGTTATCCGATAGCTTCTGATGTCCAGTAACCAACAAGATATACTTCTCTGTTGTAATAAGTTCTTCCCTTAACTGAGCACCAATCTGTTGTCGACTTGGAGACACCAGGATTTCATCATAATGCTTGGCCACGGGAATGTCGGCTTTGCCCAGAACCATCTCGATGAGGTCCACAGTGGACTGGAAGAAAGGCCAGTCCTTGTACATGGCCCGTAGGTCTTCACTGTGACCCTTTTCACATACTCCTTTAAGACCTGATCCAACTCCTAGCCAAGCAGGAAGCACAAATCTAGTCTGAGTCCAGGCAAATACCCATGGAATTGCTCGAAGATGTCCAATTCCTCCCGTACTCTTCCTTCTGGTTGGGCGGCTCCCGATGTTGAGGTATCCAAGCTCCGCTTGAGGTGTAGCTTCATGGAAGTATGCAATAAATTCTGGGTTTTCGTACACTGTACTCCTATAATTATTGCAGCTTAGCTTGGAGATCTCCTCCATCAGATTGCGCCATTTTTCTTCTCTTGGAGGCTGGGGAGGGCGCAATGTAGCAAGTAGCACAGCTGTTGTGTAGATCTCCAGTTGTCGAACAGCAATCTGTGGCAGCCCAAATTTCGCCTGCACCATCTCTCCTTGTTCAGTTGATCGAAGAGTACCCTGAGAATTGAATCCACGCACAAGAACAGTCATTACAATTCATAGTCAGATTAAGACGAGAAAAATATATGTATTCATCTATCATATTGGGATAATGCTGCATTAACCTAATGTGAAAATGGAATAATAATACCAATTTAGGCTGAGATTCTCCCATTTCAGAAAACTACCTAAAAACTAAATGGAAACACGCTTTCCAAGGATTTGTTAATAGTGTGTAAATAACTGATTTCTTGCCATTGTGACAAGTTATTTTCTAAGAAAACCATCCAGTTACCACCATTTCTTCAGAAGCTAAGAGAGAATGATAGCATCAACAAACTGTCCTCTCTAAACATGCATGTACAAGTTCGAATAAACATTGACAAAATTTGGGCCTTGTTTAACATACATGGTTGGAAGAGCCTTCAGAATCTTAAAGAGCTGGGAATTAATCTAACCATAACAGAACCAGGAGGCTGAGATTGAATGGCAAGGTAAGTAGGACCTCCACCGCGTCCAATACTTCCTCCACGCCCATGGAACAAAGTGACCTTGATTCCATGCTCTTTACATGCAGCTACAACGTCCTCCTGTGCTTTGTAAAGCTCCCACGCAGCAGTGAAGCGCCCAGCATCCTTGCCAGAGTCAGAGTAACCAACCATCACCTGTACAGAACAGCTATATGAGCTCAAGCGTACACAAGAGCTTGGAGAACTATGAAAAATTGGTAACTACCTCTTGGTGCCCATTGTGATTTTTTATTATGTGCTCGCGGTACCAATCAATGGATAACAATTTCCTAATGACAGAGCCAGCTCCTCTAAGGTCCTTCACAGTTTCAAATAAAGGAACCACCCGCAATCTATCGAAAACAAAATAATATTTGGTCAGTACTTTGTTTTGTAATACACTGCGATTTAGTTTCATACTGAGACACAAATTAGTCCTATCGCTGGAATCGGAAAGGCATCAGCATCCATTCTTGACGAGATAGGCTAGTAACATTTGTAAAATCACTGTGAGACTGGTCTATACAGAAGCTGACTAGTTGTGGAGTAAAAGGGAAAAGCAATGCCATACATCGAAGATGCTACCTTTTTACCACAACTGCAGTGATAAACTTGTCCAGAAAAATTTAAACTAAAAAACATTTGTTGGGACTTAGAAGCAAACATATCAATGCTGGTTTCAGTCAGAGAACTTAAAAATGTTTAAGTTTGGGAGATGCTTATTAGCATAACAGCATGTGCAGCAGAACTATCTGGAGCCTGATTTTCAAAGATAGTAACATTTACACAAAACTTAAACTGATGCTAATGATGTGCCTTCACATGTGCATAAACATTATACTTCAACTTAAGGATTGAAACTAAAAGAAGTGTCACTAAAAAGAATCATCTTACGTTCCTCCAGGACCTGCTCTGCCAAGCTCTCCAGTAACAGCAAGACGAGCATCCTTCTGCAGAAGCTCCACAGCAAGGACATCACTTGCCTACATATTAGGAGGCACATAGAAACATTACGATCAAGCAAAATACTGTTGTCTCAACAAAGGGAGAGAAAAGAAGATAAGAAAAAGATAAATTCATCCTACATTTGAGGCCATGGAGATCACATATGCTCCTAGTGAATCGCCCCCTAACTCAGCTGCTACTCTGAATGTATCCAATACTTCTTTAACTTCGGGAGCAACCTTCACATAGAGATGAAGTAAGTTCAATTATAAAATGAATAAGTTTATCAAATTGGTGTAATAGAACTCTGTCACCCAAGCAAAAATTACAAGTATCCGGGGTCATCACAATTCAAACATAAACAACAGGGACTGATGAGATTTTGATCAGACAATGCAGTGATACAAGGGAAACCTGAGAGCAATGATATTGAGATTGTAATTAACAATCAGAGACTGACAAAAAAATACACCGCAACCAGAAGAGAAGCAAATCCTCAGAGACTACTTGTCCAACGAATGAGGCGTAACTGATCAATACTTTGAAATATATATTACTTAGACTTTTTCCAACCCATAAGACCCACTGATCTTTTAGCCTTGGAAATTGTTATGCTACAGTGGTATTAACAGTTCTGCACACCTTACCATGATTTTGTCAGATTTGTGAATTCACAGGAATCTAAATGTTTGAATTCACATTGTCTTCACTATTTTCCGTACATGTAACAATTTTAATGCATTATCCATGATTTTGTCAGATTTGTGAAGTCTTTCGTTTTGCTTGTTATTTGAAAAAACAAAGAGCAATAAGTTCATACCTCTATAGTTTGTGGGACTAAAGGCCTCTTTCCTTTTAGCTCCTTAGTCAGAAATTCTAGCTTTTTAGCTTCGTCCCATTCACTGTAGGTACCCATGTCTAAATATCTGGTAATTGCATCAAGTGCCTCGGTATGCCTATCAGATTCCTGATACAGAATTTTGTGAGATTAAACATACACCAAGAAACTAATCACATTATGAAAATGGGAAATTACCCAATACACTTCTGCCAAACCTGAAAAACATAATCACCTGGCGCAGGTCGAGTTTCATTAATACCATCCCAAAGGTGGCAACACGTCTAATCAAATCAGTAAGACGTCCATCAGCTAGGATATCGGATCCGCATGATTGCTGCAAAAATTAATCCTTCAGTCAGCATACGCATATAATATTATTATTATTCCCATCAACATCAATGTTATTCTGATGGACAAAAATGAAATTAAAACAGTAGTAATACCAGTGACTCGTGGCACATTAGCAATGGCTCTAGAAGCTGGTCTGATGTTTCATAATAATCCCAGGGATCATATTCGCAAGGAAGATCTTCAAGGAGGAGCTCCAGCCGCTTTCTTGTCTTCAGAAGCTGAATTCAGAGGAAAAAACTTCACCAAACAAAGTTTTTACCACATGAAGAAAGTGAAATAGACTAAAACATTGGGTCTAGCTTATACATGGTAGAATCTTTCAATTCTGTGACCCAACTATATTGATTTTACACGTTCAAATAAAATGTCTGCTTTTATCCATTTTATTAAGCATAAATCAACCTTACAATAAATTATGCCGAGACCATTTCCACTTGGCACTTGGTACAGATGGAAGACAATACCTTTTCCTTAATATCACCGAGTACAATCCTGTAAGGTGCTATTCCCGGTTTCTGAGCCACGCTTGGTTCCAAGAGCTTGTGGAAGCTGGACCTGCCAATTTGAGATTCAGCAAAAAGCTTTCTCTGAGTAAGGAGTTGGCTAGAGCTGAAAGAAGCCACGCGGGTCATTCCGTTGGTTTGAGAATTTCCAGATGGAGGTAAATTTGCATTTGAAAGTGTTTTCTGTGAACGATTCTGGGTGTCAGCAATAGGTGAACCCCCTGATGAAGAAGCTTGAACATCCTACAAAGACAGTAGCAAGACTTAAGGGAGAAACATTCAAGACAAACTTCGGAATTCAGTGAAGAAAGACACAGTGGATGAACAGCTGGTGAACTACAGAAATCAATCTACCAGTCGATTTAATGGTTTAAACTCGGAGCCAGGAACATCCAGGCGTGGATAGTGAGATTCCACAGTATTGCGCTCTGCAGGGATGGTTTTAACAATTAGATCATGTACTACGATTTGATAAGAATGCACATGTTATTTCTGACGAACCATGCGAAGGCGAAACCACAGTTAACACAGTAAACATAAATATTTCAGTAATTGTACATATTAAAGAACTTAGCATTTAAAAAAGCAGTTGCATTTGGCCATTATTCATCCTCAAAGAATACTGGGAAATCGTGTAAAGGTTTACTCTGAAGAATGTTGGCAAAAATATTTAGTGATTTTAAGACAATGAGTCAGATCTACATCAACTTTGAACTAAAACATTAAACACAAAATAATAACTAAACATTAGAGGAATAGAACTAAACTAGCTTCAAGTTAGCGTGAAGATTTCCAATTCCGTGAAAAGGTTCAGAAGAAATCAAGTCCAAGGTTACGAAGTCCTCATATAGGTAGCATCATCACAGCAACCAAAAAAAGAAATCCTGAAATAGGATATACCTAGTAGACAAGCTAATGAAGTTAGGTCTATAGACATGACAGGAGAAATATAGGATATGAATGAAGGGCGATTAAAATCTAGAGTTTGACCTGAACAAGAAGGCAAATCAGCTCCTCTGGGAAGCTGTGTTGGAAGAGGCATAGCATGGTCACTGTAATGCTTAGATTGGTTCCAACTTTGTGTTTGATGCCAACTATCATGAAGGTCCTCTGATGAGCTTTCTGCAAAAGAAGTTAAGCCACCACCAAAGCAGCAAATCATGTAAATAAGAAATCAGTAAAAGCTTAAGACGGACACAGTAAACAGATGAGTTGATTAGATAATAGTAAGGTATGTAGTTAAAGTTATAAACTGCTGACCCAACAGAATACAGGAATTTAAGACAGATAATACTTACTTCCTTGCGTGCAAATTACATTCCCTTTATGTCAGTTCAGCTTTTAGTTAGAATAAAGCAGTTCATTCCTTTCAATTTAGGCAACAAATATTGAACTAAGGAGAGCTTGCACTTCATGACAAAAATAAGCCATTCTATTGCTCCCTTCGTCTGGACAATCATTTCGGGGCGGAGAGAGTATGGTAACAAGGACCTTAAGTCCTTGTGAAGGACTCAAAAACTATGCACGTGATAAAGTGTGATAATAATTTTAAAGTGCCACATCACAGGGTAAAATCTGGATTTGTGGTTCAATATGAAACTATTTCATTACAGTTTTGGTGTAAGACACTGATTGCTTACCAAATACTGTGTAGCATTTAAGAAACGTCTTTACCTCAAAATTTTCAGATAATGTATACACAAGTTAAGTTGGTCAATCAAATACTACCACCCATGCTATAGATCCATATAACATTAGGTAAGTTCAATCATCATTAAACAGCCATGATTACTTTTAAATGAGCTTTCTAAATAAATTTATGTGCCAAACCTTTTTCAAGAATATCCTGTGCAAGTCTTGAAAGTCTATCACTGCATGGGTTCATGGAAAGTTCAAATCTGAGGTGATCAATTTCCCTGACGTAAAGATCAATTGCCATCCATCTTGATAGTAGAGAAACATCTCGTGTGACCTAAGAGACAAGTGAAACACATATTCAGACCATATCAACGAAAAGATAATCTCAGCGAGGTGATAGTAAGTTGCACATGTTGAAGTGAATAATCACCAAATAAACATCCTTCTTCTGAGCTAATGTAAAAACCAGAAATTACAGACAACATATGCCACCTTTGATGTCACATTTGGATTTCCATCACGATCACCGCCCATCCAAGATCCAAACTTTATTGGTGTGCAAGTCAGTGGAAGCGGCTTCCCAGTTTGCTGAGTAGGGTGCAGGAAACAGGATTAAACAAGTGAAGCGGAGATGCGTACATGAAATTCAATAGTGATACATGACTGAGAAAAACCTTCTTGAGGGCATTGCTGACACGGCGAAGGTAATGAGGAACAGCTTTCCAGAGCGACTGCTCGACGATATTTAAACCTGAAAATGCTAATTGTTTAACCTTTTACACGGACAAAGTAAGTTAAAAAATATCATCGGAAATGAGTATCCTACCAGCCCTAGCTTCATCCACCGGAGTAGGTTTGTGACGCCTAAGCTCATCTGTTTGCCAAATGGACATGATCTCTCTCATCTAAAAAAGGAGTAACTATTATGAATAATTACGGAAAATGAATCTCTATGATCTTTTTTCGAATAAAGAAAGAAAAACAGACCAGATCTTCTATAAGCATTTCCTTGTCCTCAGCATCAAGTTCTTGCCGTTCAAGATACTCCAAGATATGCTGCAAGAATCGAAATTATTATGTCGATTGAAACTAACATAACTTTATAATTTCAAGGACTGTAAGATTACAGTTAATATTACCGCTATCCTTATATGTTTGTACTGTAAAGTACGCCGATTAATTTGCGTCGGATGTGCAGTGAGCACAATCTCAACCTCCTGTAAGCAGATATCAGCATTAAAATCATGTTCTACAAATGTCAAACAACATACTTTCAAAAATACAATTCACAAAAGAGATTTAAAAGGCTACCTGCTTGCAAACAGTCTTATAGAGCTCATCTGGAGATACACCAGCCTGCACCAGCTTCCCAAAAGTATCGTCACAAGATTTTGATAGGTGAGGCAATGCTCGATTTCTACGCAACCTGCATGAACCCCTTCTTAATTAGACCACCACGAAAGTATGCTCCTGTTTAAGATAAATGCCTAAAAATGATGCGTAGCAAACCAAAAATCATTGCTAGGGTTGAGAAGCAAAACAAAAACCAGAATCTCAGGAAGTATGCCACTGTTGTGTGAATATAGTAAACATGGCAAGTATAGAAAAGTTTTGTTGCTCTAGTATAGCTAATATGGACTATTACAAATGTAGAAAAAAGTGCGAAGAAAGCTAGTTGTCTTGGTTTTAAAATCAAGAGAGCATTCCTCTTCTCAGAGACAACAGAAACCTACTTGTACACGGAGCATGATAAATACCTATGATGGGTCTCTGCAATTCCCATCAAGTTCAGTTGATGGCTGAATGTCCTAGCAAGGGACAGAGCTTCTTCCAGTGTCAGTTTAGACAACTCTGTTGCAAGCTGTTTGTCAAGCAGCTCTGCTGTGTCCACAATTCCAGCATTTCGCAAGTTGCATGCACTCTTAAACCCCAAAAAGAAATTGTATACATCAGTATAGAAGACACGGGACACATATCCAAAGAGAATTACATAGAACAAAGAGCCAAAAACATCCAAATGTGGAAATGAATTATGCCAGATTAGAATTCTCAAGTCGCTTGAAATAGTTAAAATGAATTAGAACAATGCATGATGGAGTTGTTAAACAAGGAAACATGTGGATCATCAATGATCAAATTTTCTTACACTCCCATCAACATCAACAAATAATCCATACACAAAATCTCGGGAAAATCAGGGGAAGCAGCCAAATTATAGCAGGGGATTTTGCTCAGATTTCCTTCAGTAATCAATGAAAACTTTGAGGAGACCATCATGGTGTTATGCTGATTTTATCAACCATTTTATCCAATGCCCACAAGCCACAAAAGAAAGAATAGATACCGATGATCTCAAACAAACAAGGAAAAATGACTAGCAAAAAATAGCCAATAAACACATGCATGCATGGTGAGCATCAAAAACCCAAATTAAGAAGCGCAAGCCCAAAATCCACGCTCTTTCGGAGAAAACAAGAAAAGGGATTCATCGTCAAACAAAGGGGGTGGAAAAGGAAACCTGGGCGAGGGTGCGGGTGCGTTCGACTTTCTCCATGAAATTATGACCGACTTCCCTCTGAAGAACGTCATTGAGAAGGCTCTGTAGCAATCTATACTGATCTTCAAACCCCTGAAACGAAATCTCCTCCGCGATATCATCAGTAATATCCGTCATTCTTACAAAAGAAACAAACAAAAACAAGAATCCTAGCAGACCCTTTTGTGAATTCTTTCAGAACAAACACGAAAATTCAAACTGCAAACAACAACTCTTTTGTGGGTGTGAATCGAACAGAGTTTTTTTAAAAAATAAAAAAAAAAACAGAGAGGAGGGCTCAGAAAATTAACAGAGGTGGCAACGGTGGGAAATTCAATGAGTGAGTGAGTGTGTGTGTGTGTGTGTGTGTGTGGAGAGCGAGTGTAGAGGAGAAGGAGAGGACTGAGAGGATACAGAAGAAAGGTGGGTGGTGACAAGCGTCCTCCTCTGAGAAGTACCCGTTTCTTGTTGTTTTCTATGCTGACTAGGACTGTAAATTAATGGAGTATTTATTACCATCAGTGTTGGTACTATGTTGTTGTTGTTGTTACTTCAGGTTCAGGATGAAATAAAGAAAATTGAGTTAGGATTTCTGGAATTTAAAATTTTTTTGCTTTTAATATTTGTCTATATTTGAATTTTTTTAATTTAATACTAACATTTTTTTTAGCTTTTCTTGTGAAAAGAAGATTAATGGTCAAATTGGAAAAAAAAAAAAAAAGACAACATAAAAGAGATTTTCTTTAACCATAATGGATGAAGTTTAGATGTCTTGTTGCACTAGGATTTGTGGATGCATCTGCAAGACCTGAATTTATCTTTAGAAAAAAAAAAAAAACACATTTTTCAACTTTAGCAATTAAAAAAAAAAAAAAGGATATACTCTTCTTCTTATCTTTATATCTCCGTTTGATTTACTAACCTCCTAAGTTGGCATTAAGTGAGAGTGTGAGAGGAGTCGATGGAAAATATATCTCCAAATTATTATGGACTTTGGTTTTTTAATTCAACCTTCAAAGTGCACAATAGTGACAAGTCATCAAATTCCTGATCCAGGTGGTACTTGGATTTTCAAAAATACTGGGCCTAAAAAATTCCATTCAATTGCATACAGTCAAAACCCAAACGAAATGTGGGTCCAGTTCTTGGAGCCCAAGCAGCAGAACAATCTTTTTAAATGCCCGTCTCCATTACTATTAATAGTCTAATCCGACGACGGCCAACATTCCCCAATCTTTTGACTCCGATCGGTTACTTACTGCTTAGTTGTAATAACAGGATTCTTCTTCTTCCAAATCCAGTCCTTATTGAACCACGTAGGAGTAGTTCAAATCGAACTGATCGGAAATGCAGCACTCCGGCGACTTGAACTCGTCTTCTCCGGCGCCACAGGCTAAGCCTCCGATGCCTAAAGTTGGGGTGGCCGTGTTTTTGTTAAAAGGGGATAAACTACTGCTGGGCCGCCGCCTCACAACCATTGGCTACAACACCTTCGCCCTTCCCGGCGGCCACCTCGAATTCGGTACTTACCCTTTTTTTTTTTTTTTTTAACTTCTATAATAGTAGAAAAATGAAGATTTTTTGTTTTCTGTGTTGAACTTATATATTGAATTGAGCTTGAAAGTTTGTGATAATTAACTTCAGGGGTTGATTGATAAATTAGCATAATTTGATTGAGATTTTTTCCCAATCGCATTTCCATTAAATTTCCTATTTTTCCTTTCCGAATTAGGAGAATGATTGAATAATCCATTGCAGAGTAATATATGTTCCCAAAATTAGTAATTCTTGTATGGTATTTTGTATTCATAGCTTCTGTTGATTGGAATATGAGTTTCAATTAGGTTACAACGGTCCTTGCATTCTGAAAACCCGTTCCATTTTCTTCCTCTTTTTATTCCCATGGCTTTTTAGGGGAAAGTTTCGAGGAATGCGCAGCTAGGGAGGTGAAGGAAGAAACAGGGCTGGACATTGATAAAACAGAGTTTTTAACTGCCACCAACAATGTGTTCTCAGAAGGAGCTAATAATCATCCTCTGCATCTTGTCTGTATATTCATGAGGGCAGTTGTGGCAGATGTCAACCAGGTGCCACAAAATGTTGAACCTGAGAAATGTGGGGGTTGGGATTGGTATCACTGGAATGATCTTCCTAAGCCTCTCTTTAAGCCATTGGAGGTTATGATCCAAGGGGGTTTCACTCCATTTCCCGTTTCTTCCTGAAATTTTCGTGAAGATGATGCACAATCGTTATAGTATTATTCGTATCATTGTATGAATAATTGTGGACATTGTTCACTGTTGACTAGGAATTTGTCTGTTGTTTCTGGTTTTACACTTCTACTTGGTGTGTGGTAATCATTGGCCATTTCTGTAAGGCCGAATCCATTATTGTTTAAGCAGATTTATTCGGTTTTGTCATTTTGGGCTTTACCTAGTCGTCGTCATTGCCCAAACATATGAAATCCCATGGATTACTAGCTTCAAGCCCTGAGATGCGGCCTGGAGAAAAACGATTCTTCGTCCTAAAATAGTTTTTGTACTAATTTTAGTCATACCAACAAGATAATTATTTTGGGGGAAAAAAAAAAAGTAACCTAAGCATCAAAGAGTCAGGTAATTTTTACTCCATATCCTAGAATGATGACGGCGGAAAGAGAACTAAATATTGAGTAAAAATTATACTCATTCACAATGAATTTTAAAATTTGGGTAAAAAGTTCCGTGTAGATTATTTTTTCGGATAGAGAAAGTAAAATTTAATTTTTAGAAAGTATTATAGACTCTTGAAACGACATGTTATAAGCAAGGAGAAGATGTCACAATGTGGATTCAACCTAGACAATAGACCTATAAAACTTGCAATAAAAATACAGACGTAACACGTACAAAGACACGTATCAAAATGTGAAAAAAAAAAAAAACCGTTAAAATTTGCAAAAATAATCACAAAAGTTACCGAATGACCTTATTGACATTTTACTTAAACTATAAAAACAAAGTGTTGATGTGGAACTAATATTTAAGTAACGACAACAGCTTAGGAACGTTGTTTCTGATGTAATCAAACAAATTTACATCCAATTGTGGAAAATTTGTTCATCGTGTAAAGTTATGCGGTTTGTCAAAATGTGCCCACTCTACTAGCTTGACGCTAGGGGGATTGAAAGATGAAACACATCATCATGTGTATTAATTCGACCAAACGTGGTAGCTTAAAAGTTGCTTAAGTAAGTTGATAATCTAGCTCTTTTATAATCTTAATTAATGTCCTTAATTAGCTTATATTATACTCCCTATAACTGTCCAAGACCAACACTACTGTTGTTTGATTAGTTTAATTTAGTTGTTGTTTTGTAGATGGCAAGTAGTTGATCTGTAAAATCTTGGTCTGTGGAAAAAATGGTTTAGTTTAATTTAGGATTTCAAAAGCCAGTTCCTAATGAGTTGACAGATTTGTTATTATAGTACACCCAGAAAATCAACCAAGGTTTGACTAAGTTGCTTCCATATTAATCTCTACCACTTGCTCTCCATAATCAATCAGTAAAGTCGGTGGAATGAAATCCTGGCCATACTTTTCGAAAGAATCTAGTGTATATAGTCATAAAAATAATTGACAAGTAGATAATCATTGCTTCTGCATTACATCGATCCAGCTCCAATGTTGCACAAATGTTAATGACTCAATGTTACATGCAAAATCAAAAAGAACTTTAGAAATTTAGGGAATGTTTATTTCGTTTTTTTAGTATATGTTTTTAAATATTTTTTGTATTATAAATGTAAAAAGGTGTATTGAAAATATAAAAAATTATGTTGAAATAAAACAATTATTATTAAAATAATTTTAGAAAACCATCCAAAAAACTAAATAAACAGAGCCTATATTTTTTAAAAAATACATATTACTTAATACTCGTCCCAAAATGATCATCTTGTAAAAGGACATACTGTAGTAGGAGTAGGAGTGATTGATGAATGCGACTTGAGCAAGTTTTTTCCAACGGAGTTGGTGATGCTTTTGGGAAAAATAAAAATAAACACAATGGTTAATTTTGTCGACGGGACTAGACTAATGATTCTTCTGCTTTTTCAGCACATTTGTGTACTATGCTAAAGGCCTAAAGCAGTAAAGCTAGTAGACTGGTACTAGATGGTTACAAAAGTCTATAACTATGAACGAAAATGCACAAAAAATTACAGCAGACATCGGACTGATGATAATGCATGCTGTCCACTCCCCACCTTGATTAAAGGCCATAATATTGCAAATAAACGGCGAGGTAGGCTGCACGGGTGCCCCATTTTCACTCATGAAATGGTATTATTGTTCATTAAAATAGTACTTCTACGACTTAACCAGGATAATCAACACCAGATACGTAATATATCAAACAGTTTAAAATATTTATAATCATTGTAGAGAAAGTCATTGTAAATGTTTCGCTGCCTCTAGGAGTTGGGGTCATTTGTGTGAAAAAAAAAAAAAAAGGCCTAAAAACAAAAAGCCTAGAAGGGTTGGGCTATTGGCTACTTGGCTTCACTAGTTGCAGCACTTGTGGTGATCAAGGCTAATAAGGCGTGGTAGAAGGAGTCAGGGTGGGTACGGTTTTGGTGTGGGATTTTTACCTGCCCACTCCGTTTTAACTATTTCCAATGTAATGCTACTAATTCATCAGCTCTTTTTCAGTCAGTCAAGCCACCCTACCCCACAGTGCCTCCTTGTTCTTAGTAGCTCAGTCCCCAACAAGGCCACCACCCCAAAAGATAATTCCAATAAATTCTTGCATGCTTCTTCTTCTCCTCCTCCTCCTCACTCCTCATAAATCATCAGAATCAGATTCTTTCTTTTCTGTTTTAGTATTAACTCTTCTTCTGAAGACAAATTCTCATTCCTCAACTTCATTTGTTTTATTGTCTCATCATATCTTCTTCCATCATCCTGTATTATTTTGAGTTGCAATTTTCTAAAACACCAGGTAGGTGGGGCTGCTCACCTTCCTTTTGTCAGGATTCTCTCTGTCACTCCTTTTCTAGTCCCACACAAAGGACTGACATCAAACCAAAAAAAGCCAAACTATCCAACCATAAATCCACTCCCTTTCACAGAGCCGTAGTTTTTCTCTTCAGGGATTCTGCTGAATCCTGTCATTATTTATCACTCTGAGGAAGGAATTCCTGGTTCCATACTTTGTTTCTTCTAATTTGTTGTCTTTTGCAGAGAGAGAGATTTTACCCAGATGAAGACAATCATGGCTAAGAATCCGAATGACTCTTTCTCATTCTCCAGGAGGTATTTCAACTTCAAGAAAAAAGTTGAGGATGAACTGGATGACGACATGGAAGAGATTCTGAGGACTTCATCTCTTGGTTGCGAGGAAGAATTAAAACTCGATCTCGATCTCAGCCTCTCAATCCACACCCTTCCCATCAAACCACCCAAGAAACACTCTTCCCCTGTTTCCAGACTCATAAAATCTGCTTTCTCATTCGGAACCAAATCCGGCAACCGGGCTCGATTTTCCGGGTTAGGAACCAAAGTCGTAGGAACCCTTTTCGGGTACCGGCGCGGCCACGTGCATTTCGCTTTCCAAGAAGATCCCAAGCTGAATCCGGCCTTCTTGGTGGAGCTTGCAACTCCGACCAGCATCCTGGTCCGGGAAATGGCTTCCGGGTTGGTCCGGATCGCCCTGGAATGTGACCGGAAACCGAATGAGAAAAAGAGCAGCTCGAAGCCTCTGCTTGAAGAACCCATCTGGAGGACTTATTGCAATGGAAGGAAATGCGGTTACGCGACGAGGCGTGAATGCGGAGCTGATGAATGGAAGGTTCTGAATGCTGTGGGTCCGATAACAATGGGGGCGGGTGTTCTGCCCGGGGCTCCGGATGGAGATGGAGCAGAGGGAGAGCTGATGTATATGAGGGCTAAGTTTGAGAGAGTTGTTGGGTCTAGAGATTCTGAAGCATTTTACATGATGAATCCTGATGGTCATGGAGGACCTGAACTTAGCATTTATTTGCTCAGAGTTTAATCATATCATATCTTGTGGGTTTTTTTTTTTTCCTCTTTGGGGGGAGCAAGAGCAAGTCTGTATTGATGAAAGTATCTTAATTAATTTGCTCCATCTTGTGTATGTAAGTTTATGTTAAGCTTGAAGTTGAAGAGAACCTATCATAAATGGAATTATGAGCTATTTTGTCAGTTAAAAATGTTCTTCGTCTATCCTGATGATTGCTGATCGTTATGTGCTCGGCCTAGCTTCTTTTTTTTTTTTTTTTTTTTTTTTTCTATCTTGGACACAACTTCTTTCCAATGAAAAAGTGTTAGTTGTGGTCAGTTATGAGCTTAATTAATGGTATTGTGCTTTACAATTTTTGCATGGGATACTGTTAATCACTTGTGATTTGGAGGATGACGTCTTTGTTTCGGTTGATTAATCTAGTTTTATTAGTGAAATGATATCATTTTGTATATCATTAACTAAAAATGTAACGAGTCTAATGTTTAAGAAATGTTATTTTTGTTACATACGTAATTACAAGTAGTACAAATTCTAGATGAATCACAATTGGTTTGAAGAGAGGAGGACTGGAGGGTCATTCTCGGGTTCCAGTTGGAGACTCGCTGGTTTCCTTTGTAAGCAAAACAAGGAGACAGATTCAGCATTCAGCAACGTTTGTCTGCCTATTTTGGTATTGAAATTTAACCTCGATCGTGTGCCATTGTTATTTAATCAAATGCATCTTTTCAGGATTCTTCTCCAGATTTTAATTCGCATTTATGATGAGTCATCTCCAATCCAAAAGACAATTTTGAGAAATTGACAAATTTTCCATTTCTTTTTTTTTTTTTTTTTTTTTGAAGGCGTGTTTGATTAAACAAGTTATGCCCCCTCTCAAACCCTCATAGTTCAGATCCCCCAAGTCCAGAATAACCGGAAAAGAAAAATTAGGTTCACATCACATCGCCATGTTTATTAAATAAACAAAACTAATACTCACTCCGTCCCATAATTATTGTCCAGTTTAAGTTTTCATTTTTAGTTTAATTGTACTAAAAGTGAAATCTCAAACTGGATAATAATTTTGGGACAGAGGGAGTATTACAAAATTGAGGATGATCATGTTTCGAGCTTCAACTAGAACTCCCGTTTGGGAAAAAAGCTATTTAATTAGATGATCAGATTTCGATGAATATGATTCTACTGTTTCTTGCGAAACTTATGTTGAATAGATAAGTAGTAGTATTATTATGCAAACACGTGGTTTGTGTACTCAGGAGTTTCTTGAATCATAAGTTTTGGATTCATTATGGAGTTCATGATGATTTGATCGGATAATTGACTCCTATTTTGGTGGAATTAATTTGTGGTATTCTGCACGCTGGTTTCCTGGGAAGGGATCAAGCAATGGCCATGCCACTTACATTTGTTTTTTTAATTTGGGATCACATCTTTGATTCAATGAATCATTTCCCACAATTTGTTCCCAGAATTTTTGTCAAAATGCCCATAATATCTGGTACTTATTTACCACAGGTTACCCGTGAAAAGTCAAGCCAACTGGGACAAGTAGAGAGGGTTTTGCATAAAGCATAATTGAGATGTCTCTTAGTACGCCCATAAAAACTTGTGTAGTCATAATTCCCTTCCATAAAGAAGAAAAAAAAACTCATAATTCTTGTTTGTTGAATTATAGCAGCATAACAAATATTTTCTCAATCTTAAAATAATTGATCAATTAGATTTTAGAGTTTTTTGTCGAAATAATATTAAAACGACATTAAATTGGACAATCATTTCGGAACAAAAAAAGTACTCACTCCGTCCGTCCCGAACTTATTGTCCAGTTTAGATTTTTATTTTTAGTACAAATTGAACTAAAAATAAAAAATTAAATTAGACAATAATTTGGGGACAAAAGGAAGTATTATAATTTATTAAAATAATTGTTGGGTTAAAGCATAATTGAGATGTCTCTTAAAAACTTGGTTGGGTTACAGCTGGGGCAAGAGACATATCCATGGGGATTCACATTTGTTCTTGGTCTTGGCTCGATCATCAAATCATTCATCAGCCTGCTTATCATTTTGATTTTTTATGAATCAACTTCACTCAAAACCTTTATAAATACAGTAATTAACAAAAGCTTCTACGCTTTTGATGAAGTTTCAAAAGGGCAAGAGGCCAAACTCGAAAGATTGCATGCTTTCTAATTTATACTACTACTTTTCCTAATAAAACCAACTATCCCTAACAGCATTTCCATTACTTTTTTCCTCTTGATTTTAAGGTTTTCATAATTCCCATGGCTACTGTTTGCTTACCATGTTATTAGTAAATTAATGTTCGCTTTTATAGAAAGCCCACATGGTGTTTGTTGATTTAGAGGTGAATAATGTTAAATTGTATCCTCATCCCAAAAATTTTCCTTCCTAGAAGAAGGTGCACAATCTTTCATTTTTCGAGTTGGTGTTTCATTGTGTCCCTTTTCGAGTTTTTGAACGTGGTTTTCAAATCGTACCAAGGTTGTACTGTTTGGATATCGTGTGGAGTGGGCTGATGATTCCAAGACTATTGGAGTACTACCCATTTCTCCTCATTAGAGAGGTCTATCATTTATGCACGTATTCGTATGTTTTGCCCATTAGATCTTTGTCACCTTAACATGCGGATTAAATTGGTACGTACTTGTTAGGGGAAAATTATTATAATTCTCTTATCCCAAAAGAATAATTCATATCAGACTTTTGAAATTTGTTCTATCAAAATTCAATATAAACTAATTTTTTTAAGATAACTTATATTATCACCATGAATCTAAACCTTATACCATCAAGGAGATCTCCACCTCAAGGATCACTTAACCGCTAAAAAGAAACTAAAGAATTGTTGTTAATTTCCTTTGGAAATATATGTTAACCAGTTGTTTCGAAGGCAGCTCCTTTATCTTTTAGCTTCGATTTTTTTAACCTGGTTCATATTGCTAATTTTTATATTTATTTGTTAAAATGTTCAAGGAACAAAAGAACACGTACACACCCACACATAATCGGACAACTGAGGAATTGTTGTGAAATGATACGTTCATACAAACGCAAGATTGCCTTAAATAAAGGTCGACATTAAAGGAGATAATACATGATGAATCATAAATTTAATACGAATTCTATCGGTGCGGCTGAATAATGGGACGGAAATTTGATTTTGATGGGATATCAAATCTAAAAAAACCAGCTGCTTAAGACTCTATTTGGACAAGAGTTTTGAAAAATTGTTCAAAAAAGTTTGTTTGAAACAAAAATTGAAACAGTAATTTTTGGAAAATAATGAATTGGACCAGAATTTTTCAAAACCCTTTTAAGAGTTAAAAGTATGAAAAAGCCATTTGGATTAGGACTTTTTCAAAAGTAATTTTTGTAAAAAAATAGTTAATTATTTTTTTTAAAAAAAATTATTCTTTCACAAATGTTAATTTTCATTTTTTTACTTTTCTTTTCTAAATTAATTTTTTTATTATTCACAATTATCTTGTTCTAAATTTTCTTTAACACATTGTACTTTTCCAATATAAATCAAAACTAGAGTGTAGATTTAAAATTATTCTAACTAAATTAAATACATAATATTATAACCATTCTAATTTATTAAATGCAATAATTACTTTGGAATATTGTTATTGAGAGATTTTTAACCAAATGTCCAAATCTTAAAAGAAACAAGAAGTAGTTCATGAGACTTGGAATAAATATATATCATTTTAAATTCCACACATTCAACACATACTAAAACAATATTTAAATCTCTAACACGCAATATTTATGTTGCCTTGGTCATTCGCCGATTATTCCATTCGGTTATGATAGGATTAAACGTGTCAACTTCTTCTACTTGACTTTGAAAATTGCCTCCACTTCCAGCTTCCTCATCTATTATTAAATCTTCATATGCAAATCAAACAATAAACAACAATCACATTTTCCCAAATTTGTGAAACTGTTCGATGCAAACATCCATATGGACAAATACAGTGACTAGCTATCATGGATTTAGGGTAACAATAGGGAGTAACGGTTAATTGCTGCAAATCCTTAGAAGCTAATATCAAACGTGCTAATGGACAATTGACCACAACAAAGCAAAAGAAAGCAAAAATTAATCACATCCAAATTGGATTAACAGCTTGATAACTAAACATTACATTCTGCTTAAACCAACCAAAAAAAAAACACAAAAAAAAAATCCACGTACATATACACAGTTACATTAATACTCTTAAATCAAGCATCAAAACTTGAAATTCAATAAAACAGAACATGCAAAAAGGAGGAGGAAATTGTACATGAGAATACCAACCAGAAAATATTGTCTTATTTATTGGAGCCAACTTTTGGGAGGAAGGGGAAGTAAGGAAAAGAAGGGAAAACATAGAAAAGAAAGTCGGCACGTCAAACTCCACAGTAGAACATTTTTTCAAGCCAAAAAAGAACACATCGTTATACTTGACAGTCTATCAAAACCATGCACATGTAATGTAACTTCAGGGAACAAATATAGTAAACCAAATAGTAATCAGACGATGATCCAAGTTGAGAGAGTTCTATGAACAATTTATTCCAACGAAAATAAAGAAGCCAAACACAAACTAAGACAACGACTGGGAAATCAATGGACAAAACTAGATTATCAAAGTCATAAGGTGATCAACTGATCACATTAATCTGTTAAGGAACATGTTGGAGAGTAATGAGTTCAGAAACACCATATAATGCATTCAAACACTTCAAGGAAAATTTGCAATACAACAATAGAAATCCCTTTATCAAAAATTGAACAAGGTATTCAAATATATGTCAGGCATATACATAGGATTTCAACAAATGCAGGCAGGAAATAAAGGTATGAAGATAAAAAAATCTCATTCTGGAACAAAAATCATGAAAAAGATGGCTTTGAGGACAGAGAATGACCTTTCCAATCACCAACTGAAAATAGACTACATAACCAAAAGAGATTAAAGGACCTCTGTAAAACAAGACAATATTCTAGCAGACACATCACTAAGGAGAATAAAGATAGTGCTCCTACCGTCTAAATAATTGTCCAGATGTTTATATAAGTAGGACAATAGTCTCAGGACAAAGTTCAGAAAATAAAAGTCTTTTACATTTGCAATTAGTACTTTGCAATCATGTAATTCATAACATGCTAAGCTTAAGAGCAGCTAAGCTTTACAGCTAAGAAAGATCACTTTGCTTCAGAATAAAGCTAAGCACTAAGCAAATACAT